GTATATAGAACTAGAAATGATTTTTGTATATTGAATATGAATTCTGTGACCTTGATAAATTCACTCATTAGTTCTAATAGCTTGAAGTGTTTTTCAATTTTCTAGGTAGACAGTAATGTTGTCTGTGAATATGAACAATTTCACTTACTGCTTTTCAATCTGTATGCTTTTTATTTCTTTTTCTATCCTTATTGCACAGCTAAGACTTTCAGAATAATGTTAAGCAGAAGTGATGAGAACAGACTCTTTTTTTGTTGTTTCTGAAGTTAGGGAAATAGCATTCAGTCTTTCAGCATTAAGTATGATGTTAATTGTAAGTTTTCATAAGTGCTTTTTATTGAGATGAGGAAGTCCCTTTCTCTTCCTAGTTTGCTCACAAGTTTTATCATGAATGAATATTGAATTTTGTCAAATCCTTCTATTGAGATAATCATATGGTTTTTCATATGATTGGAGAACCATATACTTTTATATTATTAATATGGTGTTTTACAGTGATTGATTAATCCAATGTTAAACCTGTATTGCTGATATAAATACTCCTTTACATACTATTGGTTGCAATTTGCTAATATTTTGTTAAAGATTTTGACATTAATGAAGGATATCAACCTGTAGTTTTCTCATGATGTATCTCTCTGGTCATGGTAGCAGAGTAATCCTGGCTTTATAGAATTAGTTAGAAGGTTTTTCCAACATTTTCTTCCAGAATTCTTACGGTTTCATGTCTTAGATATAAGTCTGTTATCCATCTCGAAAAAAGATTAGTTGGAAGGTAATTCTTACTTTTCTGTTTTCTAAAAAAGTTTTAGAATTGGTTTTACTTTTATATTAAATGTTCAATGGAATTTAGCAGTGAAATCATTGAGGCCTGAAATTTTCATTAAAGGGTGATTCTTAATTATAGAATAAATGTCTTTAGTTGATTCAGGGCTATTCATATTTTTAATTTCTTCTTGAGTCACCTATGATATTTATAGGATTGAGCCATTCATCTGAATTTGTTTTTGTTTTTTTTTCTTCCCCGAGACAGTCTCACTCTGTTGCCCAGGCTAGAGTGCTGTGGCGTCAGCCTAGCTCACAGCAACCTCAAACTCCTGGGCTCAAACAATCCTCTGTCTCAGCCTCCCGAGTAGCTGGGACTACAGGCACACACCACCATGCCTGGCTAAGTTTTTCTATTTTTAGTTGTCCAGCTAATTTCTTTCTATTTTTAGTAGAAACGGGGTCTCGATCTTGCTCAGGCTGGTCTTGAACTCCTGAGCTCAAATGATCCACCCGCCTCAGCCTCCCAGAGTGTGAGGATTACAGGCCTGAGCCACCATGCCTGGCCTTCATCTGAGTTTTGTTGGCTTTGTTGATGTAAAGTTGCTCATGATATTCCCTTATTATCATTTTAATGCCTATAGGGTCTGTAGGAATAGTCTTTTTATTCTACTTTACTGCTGTTATGGGTAACTCAGTTTCTACTTTTTTTTGTTTTGAGCTTTATAAATTTTATTCATCTTTTCAAAAATCCGGTTTTTAGTTTCATTAATTTTCTCTATTATTTTCTTTTTGTATTTCACTGATTTCTGCTCTTTATAATTTTCTTCCTTCTGTTAACTTATTCTTATAGTTCTTTTAAAACATTTTTATTGATACACAATATTTGTATATATTATAGGTACATGTAGTATTTTGATACATGTATAGAACATGTAATGATCAAGTCAGGGTATTTAGGATATCCATCACTTGGAGCATTTGTCATTTCTTTCTGTTGGGAACATTTGAAATCCTCTCTTCCAGCCATTTTGAAATTTACAAGACATTGTTGTTAATTATAGTCACCCTACTATGTTATCGAGTATTAGAACTTTATCCTTCTATCCTACATGTTTGTTTCCATTAACCAACCTCTCGTCATCTCCACACCTTTCCCAGCCTATGGTATCTATCATTTTACTTTTTACCTCCATGAGATCAACTGTTTTAGCTCTCATATATGAGTGAGAACTTGTGTTATATGTCTTTCTGTGCCTGCCTTATTTCAATTAACATAATGATCTCCAGTTCCATCCATGTCGCTGCAAATGACAGGATTTCATTCCTTTTTATGGCCGAGTCGTATTCCACTGTGCATAAACACCACATTTTCTTTATTTATTCACCTGCTGATGGACACTTAGATTGATTCCATACTGTTGCTATCATTTGTCTTCTTTTGAGAAATGTCTTTTAGAACCTTTGCTCACTTTTTAATGGGATTTTTTTTTTGCTGCTGTTTGAGATCCTTGTATAGTCTATTAGTCCCTTGTTGGATGAATAGTTTGCAAATACATTCTCCTATTCAATAGATTGTCTCTTCATTCTTTTGGTTCCATACAGATTTTAGGATTTTTTTTCTATTTCTGTGAAAAATGACATTGGTATTTTGATAAGGATTGTATTGAATCTGTAGATTGCTTTTGGTAACAAGGTCATTTTAACAATATTAATTTTTCTGTTCCATAAGCATGGGATGTCTTTCCACCTGTTTGTGTTCTCTTCAGTTTTGTTCATCAGTGTTTTGTAGTGTTCATTGTAGACCTCTTTCATCTCCTTTGTTAAATTTTATTTCTAAGTATTTTATCTTTTTGGTAGCTATTGTAAATGGGATTGCCTTCTTGATTTCTTTTTAGCCAGTTCATTATTGTTATATGGAAACATTACTGATTTTTGTATGATTTTGTATCCTGCAACTTTACTGAATTTGTTTTTTAGTTCTAAGAGTTTTTTGATGGCATTTTTACATTTTTCTAAATATAAGATCATGTCATCTGCAAAGAGGAACAATTTGGCTTCCTCTTTTCTAATTTGGATGTCTTTTATTTCTTTCTCTTGCCTGATTGTTCTGGCTAGGACTTCCAGCATTATGTGGAATAGGAGTGGAAAAAGTGGACACCCTTGTCTTGTTGTAATTTTTACAGGATAGGCTTTCAGCTTATGGGATCATGTCGTATATGTGGTCTGTCATTGACCGAAACATCATTATGCAGCATATGACTGTATTAACCTAAAGCTATAGCACTTTTAGAAGAAAACACAAGAGAATATCTTTGTGAACTTGGCTTATACAAAAATTTCTTGGGACTCAAAAAGCAAAAACAAAAGAAAAAAATGATATACTGGACTGTTTCAAAAATGAAAAATTTCTGTCCTTTGAAAGACAATGTTAAGAAAATAAAAACGGAATCCATAGACTTGTAGGAAATGTTTGTAAAAGATATGTATGTTAAAAGACTTGTTTCCAAAATATATAAAGAATTCCTATAACCCAATATAAATATGGGCTCGATATGAACAGATAACCTCATAAAAGAAAATAACTAGCTAAAAAGCCCATGAAAATAAGCTCAACATCATTAGTCATTGGGAAAAGGCAAATTAAAACCACAATGAGATACCACTATATATCCACAAGAATGGCTAAAATTAAAAAGATGACAATACCAAGTGATCTGCTCACAAAGATGTGGGACAACTGGAATTCTCACAGCATGACAGCAGGAATGCAAAATGGTATAGTTACTTTAAAAAACAATTTGGCAGTTTATTATGAAGTTAAACCTACATTTTTGTTATGACCCAGCAATCCCATTCTTAGGTATTTCCCTAAGGAAAATGAAAACATATGTCTGTACAAGGGCCTGTATATGAATATTTCACTTTTATTCATAAGAGTCCAAACTGGGAATATCCCAAATGTCCATTACTTGGTATTCCCATACATTGGAGGATATAAGGGCAGGAGTAAAAAGGAAACTAGTAATGACTACCCGGATGAAACCCAAAAGTTTTATGCTAAGTGAAAGAAGCCAGACACAAAGTTACATGGTATAGTCCCATTTTTGTGACATTACGGAAAGTGTAAACCTATACTGATAGAAAGGAGATCTGTGATTGCCAAGGTATAGAGATCACAAGGGAAATAACTATAAAGGTCCATGAAGGAACTTTTCAGCATGATGGAAATATTCTGTATCTTTATGGCAGTGGTGGTTACCTAACTACATACATTTGTCAAGCCTCATCCAACCATACATTTTATTTATTTATTTTCCCATTTATATTTTATTTGTATTTATTGTGCCCCATATGTATTTATGGGGTACAAGTGCAATTTTGCTATGTTGATACATCACACTGTGGTGAAGTCAGGGCCTTCAGTGCATACATCACCAAAGCAACACACACTGTACCCACCAAGCAACCTCCCATCAGCCACACCATCCTACCCTCTTCTCCGAGTCTATATTGTCCATCATTCCACACTCTGCTTCCATGTGTACACATTTAGTTCCCACTTACAAGTGAGAAAATGAGGTATTTGTCTTTCTGTGTCTGAGCTGTTTCACTTAAGATACTAACCATACATTTCAAAAGGGCAAATTTCATTTTGTGTAAATACATCCTAACAATCCTCACTTTAAAAAGTGATGTCATAAAAAAATCACACTCATTAGTATTTACAAGTTCTACCATGCTGGGCAAAAAAAAAAAAAAAAACCAACAATCAATATATGATGAGTTTACTTGATAGTCACATAAGATTTAAACTCTAAAATCCTCTATTTTTTACTTTTAGACAAACAATGTGAGCCCATCTACCTCTGCAGGATATTGGAAACAGAATATCAATGGAAGATGTTTGACTGAAATAAAAAAAAAAAGATTATCTGCAGTAATTATGTAGTGAAACCACGGGAAAAGCTGATAATAAAGTTGAATATACTTACATCCTTTATGTCTATACATTATACTCCCTCATCAAAGTATATCTGTATATTTAGAAATAATCAGTATATGAATACAGTGGTGTTTACTATGCTATTATTTACTTTGAATATGTCTAATTTTTTCCATAATAGTTACACATGGCAAAAACATGTTGTAATATATAATCTGCTGTTAAAAATATTAAAATACATTGAATAATTTGTATCAAGATAAATACGAGATGGTCCAGCAATGAGTACCTTGGCAATAGCAGTTTGTTTAAACATGCGAGTCATCAACCCCATGACAGTCTCTGTGGCACCTGAATTTGGACCTCTCATTAATTTTTCCCACTCTTCAAAGCTGGTATTCAGTTCCTATGTGGGAAAAAATAACATTGTTTAGGCATATAGCATAAAGGACAGAACAATTAATGCAGTCATGAATCATGTCCTACTTTTTTTCTTTTCTGTATAGAAAGATATAAAAAGACAATTCCCAGGATGCCAATGTGTTCATTTAAAAACATCAATGCAGAGGTAGGTCAGTCACATGTTCATGCTAATTATAGAAACCAATGCCAAGCTGTGGGTGGAAAAAAAGCCCTTTGCTAACATCATAAATCAAACAATTACAGCTTCCTCTTAAGGAGATACATTTTATAAAGTGAACACAAAAATTTACATCCGTAAGAAAATGTGGTAGTAAAAATATATATGGTAGCAAAGTATTTTAATAAAAAGATATGGTTTTATTTAAATAAACATAAAGACCGGGAGCGGTGGCTCACACCTGTAATCCTAGCACTCTGGGAGGCCGAGGCGGGTGGATCACTCAAGGTCAGGAGTTCGAGACCAGCCTGAGCAAGAGCGAGACCCCGTCTCTACTAAAAAAAAAAATAGAAAGCAATGATTTGGACAACTAAAAATA